TTTCTCATCAATATGTCCCCTCAGCAGCATTAGAGAAGTTAGCTCTGGATTTAAAAAAAAAAAAAAACTTCAAAAGAAAAAAATTCTTCCAAGTTTCACTGCGCCATGTCTGGACGTAAAACTCCCAATTCTGATGAGAAGCGCTGAGCACCGCTGGGATCCCAGGCACCCCGACATCCTTCCTTCAAGAGAACACCTTCCATCAAATGCAACTTAAAAACCCTGAAATGCCACAAATACTTCTTTTGCCACTTGATCACTAGGTTGCCTCTTCAGAGCAACCCAACACGCCCCAACAGCTTCCAAATTACGGAATTCTCTAGATTCCCCTCCCCATGGCTATTTTAGTGACAGATGACCTTCAAGTACGTTATACAAGGTCATCTGCAAACATGACAAAACGCTTCGGAACCAAAAGAGCTTTTCTACTTGTCCAGCCAAAGTGCCACATAAAAGCCAGTAATGCCTCCAGTGACAAATCTCGACTGCAACGTTTATCAACCAGAAGGCAGAAAATGATTAAACCAATTATGTACCTGCCTTGCGACACACCATCTCTAATTAAAGCATTGCACAATGTTTCCGGGACATGATGAGAGCTCATGGTGGTCGCACGTGACAGGACTCGGAGGCCACAGAAGTAGCTGAGGCTAATCCATACGTATTAAGGGATCCACAGGGGTGGTAGAGCGAGATCTGAATTGTCACCACCTAGCCCTAATGCCACAAATGAATGGCCTGACTTTTGAATGACGAGGGAGGGCGAGGGAGGCATTTAAAGTGTGCAGGCTTACTTCTTCCAGGGTTCAACCAAATTTGGAGAATAAAACCCGGAGATTAATGATTCAGCCTAAGTAACAGGCAGGCAGTCACTCTCTGGTGAGGCGTATCAGGCAGTGCCTCAGCATCACCTTATCTCGGTGGAAGAGCATGCACCCCAAGGTCCACATTAAGCTAAGAAATCCACAACTGCTGTTTGACTCAGAAGCCCAAAATAGCATGCTAGAGGACACTCGGAGGGTGTAAGGAGACCCCAGCAGAGGCCAGAAGGCAAGCTGATAATGCCCCATACAAAGGGCAAGGTGACATATGAGCTACCTCAGTGAGCCAACTCCTTCTCTTATCACGGCCTTTTCCTCCCGATTTTGAAGAACAGCAACTTGATGACCTGAAATCCATCCATATGGTGCAACACGTTCACCAGCGGGGACTAAGAGCTGCTGATCGGCCAAGTGTGACAGAAGCCTTGCACCTACAGCCACAGCTGGCACCAAGGAACACCATCAACACAGGAATTTTGAGACTGGTCTTTGAGGGGTGTCCCTCAAGTTCTGCCACTGCAGTTCACCTTTCTCCGAATTCACTGGGAGCGTTTTAACACGCTCACAAGTATTGCCTTGTCCCGAGCTTCAGGGATCATTAACCCCGACCTCCCGCCTTCAGAGAGAGCTGCAAACCCCAGAAGTCTCAAAAGAGGTGGTTAAGTGACACTACAATATAAAAGCAGCATTAACAGGTTGGCACAAACGTCAAGAGTTAAGCAAAGGTTTGACATGCAGGGTTCGTGTCCCCATCAGTAAGTGCCAATATTAGCAGCGATTCGTTTAGCAACGGTCCTCCAACGAGTACTTACGATTCCAGTGCTGTGAGAAGTGGATCAGGCTCGGGTATATCCTGGAGCTGATTGCTCTGGTCTCTGCTCAATCGTATGATATCACACAGGGTCTGGGAAGCATTTGATTGCCTCTGCGAACAACGACAGAGAGCACATGTCAGTGCTGACATCTTGACTTGGCTCAGCCTGGCTGCCAGAGAAAACCCGACGTAGCTGGGAATGGAAGAAGCTGAAGAAATCAATTCTTCAGAACAAGTGCTAGCCCGCTCTAGACATTGATCTGTTAAATAGAACGCTGATGCAAATGATTAGAAACATGAACAGTTTAAAATCAAAGAGGTCTTCCTGAACTTAACAGTCACACGCAGTTCAGTATTTCAGACGGTGAGGATTCTTTTTTCATCCTCCTGACCAAGCGTGTTAACCTGCAGACCTCAAACACAAGCATTGCATTCTTACTTCTCGCTGCTCATGTTTCCTGCAGGAAAAAAAATAAATGGCTTGGTAAAACCCTTTACAATTCAATTACTATGTATGAAATGGCTTCAGAGCAGTATTTTGATAAATTAGTCGTCTCATTCTGGCTGTCAAAGACCCTCTGTAGCGACTGTCTGGATAAGATGTCTGAGGCTGTAATTTAGCATCCACCCCCGAGGCAGCGCTGCTCGAGGCACACGAGGCAGCCTGGTCCCCCCGGGTTTTCTCTCCGAAGGGGCAATTTTAGCTGTGATGCGGTGAGGGAATCCTATTGCCAGTGTGAACACGCCACCGGAAGAATCCCGCACCACCCAGTGGGCTTTGCCGCTGGCACTGGCCGCAATGGGTTATCACGCGCCCCCGTCCCCGCCCGAGGGGGACACGGCACGCAGGAAGAGAGCACTCGCATGATTTAATGCTCAGCGTGCTCGCGGGCTGAGAATTGCATCTTGTAGGCTTTTTATCTGAATACCTACTTACTTATGGCCTACGAAGAACTGAAAATTGCAGTGAATTAGTTAATTTAAAAATTTTTTCAACCGCTTGTTTCAAATAGCAGGTTCCCACTTAAAATCAAGTGAGTCACCCCTGACTGTAGATACTGAGACAGACTGATGCAGCAGCAGAACGAACTAAGAAATTGGTAGTAAAAGAAGGCAAAACCAGACTAAAAATACAACAAACCAGTTTGGTATTGAGCTTGGCAGTCAGGGGACAGGATGTCCACCCATGCAGCTCATCCCTCGCTGCTCCTTCCCTAAGTCACCTGGGCGTTATCGAAGAGACAGAGAGATTCTTCCGGACCTTACGGGACCCACTACCCACGAAGACGACACTTAGTCTTGTCATACTCACATCCTCGTCCTGGCTTGAATGGATCAGTTCCACAAGTCTCTGAATAATTTTTGCTTCATTAAGCCACTGGAGGGAAAGGAAGGGGAAAAGAGAATCCTTGGTTGACATCACAGTAATCAAAACACGAGGATCTTCGAGAAGCTTTGCATAACAAGGGCTCTCCACGACGGGAAAGCCCTTTCCTTCTATTTCATAATCAACGCCACAGGGGACACACAAGCTCCCCTCGGCACAGACAGAGACGCATTTTCATTTGCATCAGTATGTGCGCCCTGCCCACGGATCCAAAAACCCAAATACCTTTGGAAAACACGGAATAGATCGGTCGTAAGCGTTCTCTCATCTGAAGCAGCATTAGCGTATTTATCAACAGGTTCTTCTCCTACCGTCTCCTACTCTTGCAGCCATACTACTGTTCATGCTAAATCATTTCTCAGGCTTGGGGATGACAGAACACCGCCGCTGCCATAGAATCATCTAGGCCATACCTCGTCTCCTTCCCCTACACCAGCTTCAGACTGCTTCTTTTTCCTAGTGCAAGCTCGTTTCACCTCCCTCTCCTGACCCCATGCAAACCAAGCCATCTGCAAATGACAGGTTCCAGTTTCTCCCTTCCCAGCTTCATCTGCAAGCTCAACGTCTCATTTCCGCCCGTCCATTTTTTCTTGAGTTTCTATGGTCTTCATCCCAGGCAAACTGCTGGGTGTCGAACATGAATCAAACCAATCAAACTAATGCATTCACGGCTGCTTTTGAAATGACTGACCAACCATTTATTAAAAGGAAAAAGACTTTGGAGGTTTCTGCAATGATAGGCTCTCCCACCACTCTCCAGCTGAGTCCGGGAGGAAATGAGCAGTCTCCTGCCTTCCACTTCTCCATGCCAAGACCCAGCGCGTATCTTCTCCTCTTGAACGCACATCTTTATGTTATCCATCCACGACTTCAACTACAACCCTTACGTTGACTCTTCACCAGCTTGGCTCTAATAACCCTCCTACAGATCTCCTGCTCTCCAATGCCACGTTGAGCACGATGTATGTCTGTCTGACTTAAAACAAAAACTCTATAACCCCATCTTTAGCGACTTTTCCCATGAATGACACTGCTCTTTTCCTACCAAGTCTGAAATATCTGACTTTGTCTCCTTTCTGGTATCCCTTATTACTGCAAAAATACTGACCCTGTCCAAAAACCTTCCCAGCACACAGCTGGGAAACCAAGTAGTGCATTCAAGACTGTATTCTCAGATCCGGTTTCTGTAATTTCTTCTTAGAATCATAGAATCATGGAGTCGTTTGGGTTGGCAAAGCCCTCTAAGCTCCCCCAGCCCAACCGCCCCCCTACCCCTGCCATCCCACCCCCAAACCCTGGCCCTCAGCACCACCTCTGCCCAGCTGTTAAATCCCCCCCGGGCTGGGGACTCGACCCCTTCCCTGGGCAGCCCCTTCCAGCCCCTGACAGCCCCAAGG